GCATACACACACATATGTACGTTGTATATACACACACATATGTTGCAATTCACAAAGAGCTTTAGTGTTGATACACAACAAGTTTAAAGTGTTCCTTTCCTCTGAGTGGCTCTTCATGAAAGCTCACCATTTTAGGGACTGAGGTCCCACAGTCCTTCAAATTATATCTATGTCATAGACTATCTTGAAAAGAAAATTCAAACACGGAAGCTCTTAGAGAGAACCATCTCATGAAACAATGCTTATATGCAACAGTTACTTATGTGTTTTGTTTTTTAAATGAGGCCTTTCATATTTTTTTCTATGACTTTTTTTAAAAAAACGGTAGGTTTTTTTAAATTTTTTGTAATAGTTCTTAAATGGTTGTCATCGGCACTCTGTATTTTCACTCTCTGGCTGTCCATGACTTAGTGGTAACTATTTCCTGAACAAGCTAAAAAGATGAATCTATTTTGATTTGTACTGTAGTTACTCCTCTTTTGGTTGCTGACCTGGATTAGAGGGATGAATTCAAGTTCTCAGGCTCGTCTCCCTTCAGAAACCTATGATATGGAGTAAGGGATGAGCCATAGATAAAAGGTGCCCCCAATTCTTTCCATTTGTAGAGCTTTTCCTTCAGGTGGACTTTTCTGTGTCTACAAAGGTTTGACCTATAGCTATAGGCTTTCCCACACTCCATACACTTGTAGAGCTTCTCTCCAGTATGGATTCGCTCATGTTCAGTCAGGAAGGAGTACTGGCTGAAGGCCTTCCCACACTGATTACACTGGTAGGGCTTCTCTCCAGTGTGGATCCTCTGATGCCGATAAAGGTTTGACTTACAGCCAAAGGCTTTCCCACATTCTTGACATGTGTAAAGTTTCTCCCCAGTATGAATCTTCCGATGTTCATTGAAGGATGAATATTGGTTGAAGGTCTTCCCACATTCAGTGCACTGATATGGTTTCTGTCCAGTATGAATTCTCTGGTGTTCAATTAGGGTGGAGATACGTGTAAAGGTTCGCCCACATTGCAAGCACTGGCAAAGCTCTTCTCCAGTATGGAGTCTCTGATGTTCAGCTAGGGATGGAAACTGGCTGTAGCCTTTTCCACACTCAGCACATTTATAGGGCTTCTCACCTGTATGGATTCTCTGATGTCTGTGGAGCTTTGCTCTGCAGTTAAAGGCCTTGTCACACTCAGCACACTTATAGAGCTTCTCCCCAGTGTGAATCCTCTGGTGCACAGTGAGGGTTGAACACTGGCTGAAGGCCTTTCCACATTCCCGGCAACGGTAAGGTTTCTCTCCAGTGTGCACCCTCAGGTGTTTGATGAGTGTGGAACTGCTGCCAAATGCTTTCTCGCACTCACTACATTTGAATGGTTTCTCTCCAGTGTGGGTTCTCTGGTGAGCCAGGACAGAAGATCTATGGCTGAAGCTTTTTCCACACTCGCTACATTTATAAGGTTTCTCTCCAGTGTGAAGCCTTCGGTGCTCGAGAAGATGAAGACTTTGGGTAAAACCCTTCCCACATTCACTGCAGACATAAGGTTTTTGTCCCGGGTAAATCGGGAAACTTCTCATTAAATTAAGATCTTTCTCTGAAGTGCGATACATACCAGGTATCTTTTCTGTGGGTTTCCCCAGCTCAGGGCCTATGGGATTTCCATCTTCACTGTCAGTTACCTTGGATGAGGCTGCCCCTGGTTCATAAGCTTCCTTTTCTTGCTCCTGTGCTGTCAGGCTCTCAGATTTCACTTCTCTAAAGTTGGTTTTCCAGTTACCACACTCAGTGGATCCATTCTTTATTAGCCCATGAGATGTTTCTTCAATAAAAATGTCTTGTTTGAGAGGCAACCCTTCTATCTCTGGCCAAATCTGGAAATCTGAAAAGAATTGGAAGAATGAATTCTCCCTTTGCTGGAAGAGAAACATGGATGCATCAGGCTAATGAGACTGGAAGCAACACACACACAGAAGAGGTTTGGTGCATCCTGAACTCAAACATGAATCTGGACAAAAAGCAGGGTGATGAGAGGTGAGTAAGAGGTTAAGAGGAGCAGGGCAGGAGAATAAACTAGATAAAACAATGCTGAAGATGAAGAGACTACAGTTCTAGAGAAAAAAAATTTAGACAGGGAAGGACAGACTGAAGGACAGAGCAGAGGACTTCAGAATATGGAACAATGGGAAGTGGCAAGATGAAGCTAAGCACCCTGGGATCCCTCAGGTTTTCCTCACTTCCTACTCTGCATTCATAGGCAGTGAGGAGGTAGGTCCATTTACTTTCATTGTATTTTCTCCCCATTCTTCCTTTGAACCCCGCAGTCAATAATTTTAAAATATTTGTATTGGTTTTCTTAAAATTGTGACTTTACGGGCTGGAGAGATGGTTCAGAGGCTAAGAACACTGGCTATTCTTCCAAAGGTCCTGAGATCAATTCCCAGCAACCACATGGTGCCTCACAAACATCTATAGTGAGATCTGGTGCCCTCTTCTGATGTGCAGGCACACATGAGTCAGAATGCTGTATAAATAAATTAATTAAAAATTTTTGTGACTTTACATTCAATTATAATTTCATCACAGCCTGTGAAAGGGGAAAACAGTCTGTTTAAAAGATGACATTTGGGTCTTAAAACCTACCAGAGCCCCCAACATGACTGTGTTTGACCTAAGTTTAAGACACTGATCATTATGAAAAACTACAGAACAAGTCAGCCATGTGCACCACTTTACACTTGAGAATGAAAGAATAGTGTATTTTCTTGCTATCTCTCATCACTTTTCTCTTCTTTGTTAGGCCAAAGGAGAAATGCTATATTCATTTCTTCTGTAAGCTGGAACTAAAAGACTATTCTCTTAGTAGGAATCTTTTTTTCTTAATTTATTTATTTTTTTATTAATTACAGTTTACTCAATTTATATCCCAGCTGTAGCCCCCTCCCTCATCTCCTATCAACCTCACCCCTCCCTCCCTCATCTCCTCCCATGGCCCGCCCCTCCTCCCCTTCCCTCTGACCCTAGTTTATCAAGTCTCATCAGGAGTGGCTGCATTGTCTTCCTCTGTGGCCTTATGAAAATCTCTAAGTTTTGTGAAGTCAATTTGTCCTGAAGGTTTGAGTATGTCCAACCTCAAGTTTAGCTCTGACTCTAGGTGAAAAGATTTAGTTTAAACTCATGTTAAGACATTCTGAGCTAAAATTCAACTTTCTCCCCACCACACACACTTGGTTTTTTGTTTTTTTTTTTTGAGAGAGAGGATTTCTCTGTGTAGTCTTGGCTGTCGCTTTGTAGACCAGGCTAGCCTTGATTTCAGAGATCTGCCTGCCTCTAGCTCCCTAGTGCTGGGATGAAAGGCATGTGCCACCGTGCTGGGTAAATTCAGCTTTCTTTTCTCAATCCATAACTGAAAATGGATTAACATGACATTTAGATATTGCATTTAGATAGCTGCATGTCGACAAGCTCTCCACTTAAACACAATGGACATTAAGCATCTCACGAGAGTTCATTACTTACAAAAATGTCACTGTACCACTGGCCTTTCATGACATACCCTTTTAGACTCCTGCGTCTCCATTTCCCAGTGGTTCACTTACCTAGGCAGGTGTCTTCAGAGTCTTCTCTTTCCATGCAGGGATCTTGTCCTTTTTTCAGCTTGCCAATCACCCGAGGTATTGAAGCCTGAAACCCTGCTCATAACAAAGGCAATGGAGCTGGGATGAATGGCTTGAAGAGTAATCTCAGAGCCACTTCATATACTACTCACTGACCTCAAAAACAGAGAAGGGCAGACCTACAAGGTGGGACACACCAGGGGGCACTGGAGATTTAGGGCATGGGGCAAGAAGCAAGATACAATTCAAAATTAATGCATGGCCCTGGAAATCAGCTTCTCTGAGACAGGGTATTCCTGTACAGTTTTCAACAGCCAACTGTCTTATATGAATTTCAAATTCTAAACTGGGATTTAGTCACTGGCATGTGGCAACCGACTGGGAGCAGGGTTCAAGGAAGGGCAAAGGAAGGAGCACAAAGGTGTCAGAGAAAAAGACCTACTTTCAACTCCACAGAGAGCTGACTTTCACCTGCAGCATAGTGTGGTGGAAAACAGTGGACTCTGAACCCAAAGAAGCAGCTCCAAGAGACCCTTCTAGCACAGGGTTCATGAGACGAGAACCAAGAAAGGCTGACTGCAGGGAGGCCAGGCGGGGGTAGGGATCATGGGCTTCCACGGCAGCATGTTAACCTCAGGGAGCTCCTCACCCAGCGAGGCCAGGTTGCTGTAGTTCTCCAGCATCACCTCCTGGTACAGGCTTCTCTGCGCAGGGTCCAGGTGCAACCACTCATCCTGGCTGAAGAACACGGCCACATCCCGGAAGGTCACAGGCTCCTAGAACAGCAAATCCGCTCCTCTCAACCTAGAGCATCATCTTCATCATCTGGACACCAAGAAATTCTGAAACTACCTCAGAATTCAAAGTAGTTTGAATCATCTAGCTATGTAGTTTTGCAGAAATAGTTATTAACTATTTAACCAAAACAAGTATTTATTGAGAACCCGCTGGACTTACAGATATATGACACCAGCTGTGGGGACTGGGGATTAGAGGGGGTGGAGTCCCTGGCAGTAGGACATTAAAATCCGAAATCCCAATTTTAAAGTGTTTCTAAGCAAACACAGCCTTCCCTCACTCATAATCTAGGTAAAAGAAAGAAACAAAATACAAATCAGAACCCATGTAGAGCAGTGCAGGAAAGCTGAGGAGAATGCCAACCAAACAGGCAGAAAGCCCTGGGCATAAAATAATAATAACCTTAAAAGTATTAAACAAGTATGTTAGAGATGCTGGTAGGAGCTTTGCCCGTATTATCTCCTTTAGATTCTATGAAAACCAGCCGGGCACGGTGCTGCACACCTGTGATCCCAGCACTCAGGGAGGCAGAGGCAGGCGGGTTGCTGGGAGTTTGAGGCCAGCCTGGTCTACAAAGCGAGTTCAGGACAGCCAAGGCTACACAGAGAAACCCTATCCCAAATAAATAAACAAACAAACAAACAAACATACATAGATAAATGCATGAATGAATGAATGAATGAATGAATGAATGAATGAATAAATAATCGTAAGAAAACCTTTTAGGAGGAGGCTGTAGTTAAAGCACTTTACTAGTGGAAAGCCAGGTCTAGAAAGGTTGAATAACCTAGGTCAGCACGTTGACACAGTAGGTAAAGACACTTGCCGCAAGCCTTGCCAACCCGAGTTTGATCCTGAGCACCCACATGGTAGAAGACCCCCACACTTGTGTTGTGGCACATATACTCACTCAATAAATAAACAGGTTAAGTAACCTTCCCAAGAGAACAATGGGAAAAAGTGATAAAACTAAGGTCTGAGTTCATGTAAACAGTCCTCTAAGCAACTATCAGAAGGGTTTCTATTCAATATAAAAATCCAAAGAACCACAGTATCTGCAAAACTATATAGGTGCCAGAGCATTATTAAGAAATTAATTTCAGGGGGCTGGAGAGATGGCTCAGAGGTTAAGAGCACTAGTTGTTCTTCCAAAGGTCCTGAGTTCAATTCCCAGCAACTACATGGTGGCTTACAATCATCTATAAGATCTAGTGCCCTCTTCTGGCGTGCAGGTGTACATGCAGGCAGAACATTGTATGCATAATAAATAAATCTTTAATTTAAAAAAAAAAAAAGGGGGGGGTTGGGGATTTCACTTAGTGGTAGACTGTTTGCCAGGTGCAGCCTTGTCAGGCCACAGAGGAGGACAATGCAGCCAGTCCTGATGAGACCGGATAGGCTAGGGTCAGATGGAAGGGGAGAAGGACCTCCCCTATCAGTGGACTAAGGGAGGGGCATAGGGGGAGAAGGGAGAGGGAAAGTGGGATTGGGAGAAGACATGGGAGGGGGCAACAGCCAGGATACAAATTGAATAAATTGTAATAAATGATAATAATTTTAAAATGTTTAAAAAAATTCATTTCAGCCTGGTTATGGTAGAGCCTGCCTTTAATCCCAGCATCCAGGAGGAAGATGCAGGTGGATCTCAAGTGAATTCGAGATGTATATGTATATGTATGTATATGTGTATATATATATATATATGTATATGCATGTATTTCTTTTTTTAATTTTATTTATTATTATTATTATATTTTACATTATTATTACATAATTTTATTGTTACATTTTATTAACTCTGTATCCCAGCTGTATCCCCGCTCCCTCATGCATGTATTTCTATTTGCACCCATGTGCGGAGGCCAGAGACAGATTTTGCTCTATTGCTTTCTACCCTAGTTGTTGAGAAAGACTCTCTCACTGCGCCTGGAGCTCACTGACTCAGCAAAGTCAGCTGGTCAGTGAGACAAAGGGTCCTCTGTCTCTGCCTCCCCAGCATCCTAGCATGTCCAATGTTTTATGGGGGTGCTGAGGACCTGAACTCAGATCCTCATGCCTGTGTGGCAAGCACTCCAGCCACTGAGCCATCTCCTCAGACTCTGCAGATGACTAGTTCGATGGTTGCTCTTTTTTTTATTGTCACAAACAGTATATAATGATCATTGTCCTAGCAATCTCTGGGTAGGAGCATACCTATATTTGTAAGATAGAACAGTAGTTCTCAACCCATGGGTCACAACCCCTTTGGGGTCACATGTGAGATATCCTCCATATCCGGAATTTACATTACTATTCATAACAGCAAAATTACAGTTATAACGTAACAACGAAATAATTTTATGGCTGGGGTCCCCACAACATGAGGAACTGTATTAAAGAGTCGCAGCAATAGGAAGGTTTAGAACCACTGAGCTAGATTGAACTGTTGGGTCAGAGTAGCCATGCATTTTTGATTGGCAGAGGCAGCCGACTGTCCTTTTTTAAAATGGCAGTATTACCTTACCTCACATACTCTTTGTATAATGTGACTTCCCACCAAGCAGAGCTCCCTCACTTAAACCTATGAAGTCGTGCCTTAGTTTCTTCTGGCCCCCATGGGCACCTGGCACACACAGCACACACACATGCAGGCAAAACATTCATACGTATAAAATAAAAATAATAAATTTTCAAAAATTTTAAAGTGTTAATCAAGCTCGGCCTGTCAATCCTCTGGCCAGGAGTTTGCCTCTTCCCACCTTCTCCGCCCTCAAAATCTGATTCACCTGAAGACATGCTAGGGATGGGGAGGACTAATTATCTCTTAAAGAAATAATGTATTCAGCCTTCCCAGAAGCCTTTCGGTAGTGCCTTGTAGGCTTCCATCATGTAGCACTATGGAGTGTGTTCAATTTTCAGAGTTACTCAGAAAACTGTAACTTTTTCCTTTTTATCCTTTCTTTCTTTCCTTTCCTTTTCTTTTTCATTTTTCCCAAATTCCAAGCATGCTTTCCTTGGCACTCTGAGGTTCCTCACCCATTCTCTGAAGCTACCTCCTCCACCACACAACTGTTTGCCTACCGTGCAGCTTGGGGGCCTCTTTCTCTGACCCTAATTCAAAACACACGGCTTCCTTCCCTGTTTCATCTCATGCCTCCTGGCAGCTGGCAAGACTTACTCCTTGTCTGCCCTGTTATTTTTCTCAAACTATAATAACATTTTCTTCAAGCTTCCTTCTGGATTCCTTTCCAAATTCTTTTACTAATGAAACTAAGAACCCAAAAGAGGGGACCAGACTTCTCTTGCAACAGAAAACCACAAAAGGCATTTTAAATTGTATCAAGCAACCCTCATACTGCTCCCTTTGGCTAGCAAAATGGGTAGACATTCCATCTGAAGGATTCCCCATTCTTAGAAGAAAAGCATTCTGTGAGGTTTTATGGGATACCATCTGTTCTGGACCTGGCAGACTTCTGTCAGTAGGTCTACTCCTGATAGGTGTGGGGTGGGAGGCTTTTGTGCCTTTTCCCTGAAGGTCAGCTTCAAACTGGGACTTTGCACACCTCTGTTAAATGCTAGTTTTGCAAGTGAGAAAAGTGACAGAGGCAAAGAATGGAAACACATCCATGACTCTTAAGTCAGAAAGCAATTTATGCAAAGACAAGCATCACTTACTGCCCCTTGAGCAACCAGCAAATCCACAGCCATTTCCCTTCTTAGTTTTCCTGCCAAAGGAGAGCTGAGTGCTGACAAAGTATGCCTGGAAAGGAAAAAAAAAAAAAAGGTGTAGTAAGGCTTAGAGTGAGGAAGTTAAAACCACCCATAATGGGGTCTGGAGAGGTGGCTCGGTGGTTAAAAGCGCTTCGTGCTTTTGCAGAGACCTCTGATTATCATCATCCACATAGTGTTATCCACAACTCCTTTTAACTCCAGTTCCAGGGGATCCAACCTCCTCTCTGGCCTCCTCAGGTATTGTGCTCATGGGCACGTACACACAGACATAAAAATAATAAGTTAATTTTAAAAACACACCCATAATGGTCACAAGATCCCAAGTTAAGCCATCCCCCCGTAAACAACGCAAACCAAACGATAAGAATCTGACCTAGGCAACCTGTCAAAACTCTAAACCTTCTGCCTATTAATCACACTTCTAATTTCTTACACCGATCCCTCCACATCCACCTTCAGACCTGTTAGCGCCTTGTACAACTGCGGCAATGTCAAAAGGTTGTTCTCTGCAAATGCTGGGCCAGTCTACCTCAAGAACTTGGGTGTAGGCTGTTGGAGAATTCCTGGAACCAGACCTCTATGCAGCAGAGGTGGGGCTGCGCTGTCGACGTGGCTGAGGTGGACAGCCAAGGGGTTCTCAGACTGCCCAGAAGGACAAGACATAGCAAGCTGCACAGATGGGAAGGGGATTCTGCTTCCAGGCCAAGGCTCCAGCCAAACTCAGCGAATGCTCGGGCCACACTGTGCCCTGGTTTCTTCATCTGCTGCACTGTCGGCACAATGAACGGCCACGGGCCTTGTAACTTGGCATTAGATGAGCTAATTCATTAAGTTAGACAAGACTGCTGGGTATCGGCTGTTGTTTTTAAGATCTGCATCGCTAAGATGCCGCACAAGATGCACAGGGCCCCGGCCCCACAGCCTGGGCCCGGCCGCGCTCTGTGGCGGGCCGAGCCTGCCCAAGGGTCCCAGAGCCAGGCCGCGCCAGGCCCGCCGCGAAGCCCACCGCCCGCGACGCCCCGCCCGTCCCCGCCGCCCCCACTCACGAACGCCGGCGCTCGCTCTCGCCGCCCTCAACACGAGCGGTCTCGAGGATGTCGGTCCCAGACGCGCCCTCCTGGCACAGTCAGGGTCACCTCGGCCAGGAGCGCCCCTAAAACGCCGCGAGCAGCCCCGGCCACTAGGAGAAGCCGCAGAGAACTACCATTCCCAGCATGCCTCGAGTCCACCCTGACTACACTTCCCAGAAGGCACCTGGGCCAGGCGACTAACGCAAGCTGACAAGGCTGTAGCGCTGTCTCCAGCGCAGTTGGATTGATTACTCTAGAGATTGTTGCCTAAGGCTGGGTGAGCGCCCTGCACACCCGGCAAACTCTGCAAACACAGCCGGACTCTTTCAGTCAGCCCTCGGACTTGTTGGCTAGGCGGGTGAAGTGATATGATCGGAAATTAGTGTCTAGGAGCGGAGACATCCCCCCTTACCCCCATAAGTACCGGGTTAGCTTGACTGACTACGTATCGGAGGACAGCCAGGGCTACACAGCGAGACATGTTAAAAAAATAAAATAAAATAAAATAAAAATTCTCTAGGAGAATCTGTGTAGACCACACCAGTAATGATAATTTAAATTATTTTCGCGTATATAATACACAGAAAACAGTACGCATAGGTATCGATTCAGTAATTTTGCTTGTTTTGTGACAAGGGCCTTGATTATGCAGCCCAGGATGGCTTCAGAATCAGAAGGTTTAAAAATAAAAGTAATGGAATGACCTGGGCGTGGTAGTGCACGCCTTTTATCCCAGCACTCTGGGAGGCAGAGGCAGGTGGATCTCTGAGTTCCAGGCCAGCCTGGTCTACAAAGCGAGTACAGGACGTCCAAGGCTACACAGAGAAACCCTGTCTCGAGAAAAAAAATGAAAGTAATTGACTGAAAACACATAATCAGCCTTTTGATATCTTTTAATCCAGCTGGCTGCTGAATCCTGAAATTAATTACCATTTGGTTGGAATAGACCGTAGTGGACCTTCGGAGATCCTGCGCATACCTATCTTCTAGTTTTGTTTTTAAGACGTATATAATGTTAACTCTCTCGAGTATCTTTCCGATCTGGAAAATCATCTGGAAGACGTTGGGGTGATCTTTTTGTGCACTATGTGAATGTTGTCTTTGTATATTTAAATGCTGATAGTTTGGTATTGTTAAACATCGCCTGAATACTCCAACACCTTCTGATTTAATAAAGAGCTGAACGGCTGGAAAAGGAGGCAGGACTTCCGGCAGAGATAGGAACTCTGGGAAAGAAGCTGGGGCGTGGGAAAGTTTCACCACCCAGATGGAGAGGAAAAAACAGTGACAGGACTCAGGAACTAAGGAAAGGTAATAAGCCACGAGGCAGAACGAAGATTACTCTAAAGGGGTTAATTTAAGACAAGACCTAGTTAGGAACGAGCCAAAGCTAGGCCAAACATTAATGCTTAGTAAAAGGTCTCCTTTTGTCATTATTAGGATCTGTCGGTTGGAGGAAATTCCCATTAATAATTGGCATCCAAACGTTTATAGGAAGAACAACCAAAAGCCAGCACTGAAGGTGCTTAAATTGCCCCACATGGCTGAACTGAGGCGCTCTCAGAAGTCATAGGCTGTTGAGTGAAAACCCCAGTTCTAGGCATGTGTGGCCTCCCTAGGTATTACTGGGCACAGAGGCTCTTATAACCTCATAACCTACACAAGTTATTGTCTCTGCGGGTTTTGCTTGTTTGTTTTATTTTGTTTTTGCATCCCAGAACTAGGTGGAAGTCCATGCTACTGTAGATATCACATAGGTTAGTTGCAGGGCATGGAGAAATCAGGCTTGGACCAAGCTGGATTCCTTCCATGCTACCTCACTTTTATAGTGCTGGGGGGTGAGGGACCCCGCTTTGCAGGCTGCTGGGGAGAGTTGATGCCAATAGTCTTGTTCAGCTATGGACAGAGTATGTTGATGCCCATTAGCATGCCAGGAAACATAATCTCACTGTTACAACAGTGAGAGACTTAGTATGGGTGCTGCCAGGTTTTTTTTTTTTTTTTTTCATTTTCATTTAAAGCCTGCTCCACAGGACAAAACTCCTTTTTATTTTTTATTTTTTCCAGCGCAAAACCTGTGGCTGGGGAGATCCCTGTCCCCAGTGGGAAGGCTACTGTTATTAGTTTGTCCAATAGGTATTACATACATTCAAAACATTTGTGATTATGGGCACAGATTACCACTGCTGTGAACACTGTGAGAGAAAACTTTTTTTAAGTGTGTGTATATGTGTGTGAACATGTTCATACAGACGCCCATGGAAGCCAAAAGCCTTGGACCTTCTGGAGCTGAAGTTACAGGAAGTTATGAATCACCTAACATGGGTGCTGGGAACAGAACCAGGCTCTTCTGCAAGAGTAGTGCACTTTCTTAACCATGGTGTTTTAATCTCTCCTGACCTGGGAAACACCCTTTCCCAGTGTGGGTAGTTGCTGTGGTGTCACAACTGGTCACAGCGCTAAGAATAAGGACTGTTGCTATGCCATACTAATCCAATGCTGGGGCATAAATGGAAGAAAAGAATCAGACATCTGTATCACTCCAAGACACAGGGAACCTTACAGAAGAGGCAGAATGGAGGCACAGGTGGTGTTATGTGCTTTGAACTGTGAATGGAAACAGGAAAATGGAGGCTCACAAGACTCAGGAGCCCTAGAAAGCTAACAGGCTTAAGAAGCTCTCTCTAGAAGTTTATATAAGCAGAGTACAGTGGGTACAGGGAGGACTTGGAGGCAGGCATAGCCTGGGACCAAGAATTGTGCTCTCTGTGGCTGCACTGTGACATAATGTCTTGTTTCTAAGAGTGTATGTGTGTACGTAAATTAAATTTCAAAAACGTTTATCTAAAGAACTTTTACTTCACAATAAAATACAGCAAAGGAAATTACTTTCTGAGAAAAAGTAGTGGAGACACCATGCCTTTTGTGACTGAAAGTGCCTCCAGGTCTGAATCAGAGGTGGTAAATGTGAAAGGACAATACGCCTGCATAGCTCACAGAGTGGCTTTCTTCTCAGGTCACTTAGAGAAAGGAAAAAATGAACCAAATGTTGTAAACAAGAATTTGTTTACAGTGTTAAAAAACAAACCTTAGTGACCAGGAGGCAGCTAAAGTTACATATGTAGATTTCTTTTCTCATTCCTTCTAATCCAGCCATTTTGCATTAACATTTAATGGCAATGTCCAACATAGATCCTAGACTTCATTTGAAGTCTGGTGAGCTATGGCCGCACTTTTACCTAAATCAGCAGGTCCCCAGTGGTGGCACAAAAGCTGGTGGCTGTTAAGTCTGCATTACTAGAAAGCAAATGTTAATTCTTCAATCTTAGTGTCAACTCTGTCATCAGTAAAACTTCAGAACATGTGGAAAAGGTTCTAAGTTTCCCAAATATTCACATGTTTATACTCCATCACAGATGCCTGATATTTGCTGACCCCCAACTAACTACCACTCATCACTTTATCCCCAGGATGAATTCTGTTGCATTCAGTATGGGATGAATGTCTCAAGGCAGATTTACCACATGCATTTTGTTTTTTTCTCAGTAATGAGTCTTCTGGTGGTTGGCAAGAGATGAGCTTTGACTGAAAGCTTTCCCACATGCTTTGCATTTATAAGGCTTTTCTCCTGTGTGAATTCTCATATGTATCGTAAGCGATGAACTCTGTCTGAAGGCTTTCCCACATACTTTACAGTTAAATGGTTTTTCTCCAGTATGAATTCTCTGGTGCTGAATGAGGGCTGAGCTTAGGTTGAAGGCCTTTTCACAGTCATTGCATTTATAAGGTTTCTTGCCAGTATGGATTTTTCTATGGGTATTGACTGCTGAGTGGGAGCTGAAAGCTTTCCCACATTCCTTACAGTGATAAGGTTTCTCTCCTGTGTGGCTTCTGTGATGGATGTTAAGTCCTGAGATCCAGGAAAAGGCCTTTCCACATTCATCACACTTGTACGGCTTTTCTCCAGTGTGGATTCTTTGATGATGGATAAGTGCTGTGCTTTGGCTGAAGGCTTTTCCACATTCCTTGCATGCATATGGTTTCTCTCCGGTATGAATTCTCTGGTGTATAATCAAGGCCGAGTGGTAACTGAACACCTTGCCACACATATTACAAAGAAAGGGCTTCTCACCGGTATGAATACGTTGGTGTCTACTTAGCCGTGATGTTGATGTAAAGGCTTTCCCACACTGGCTACATTCATATGGTTTCTCCCCAGTGTGAATTCTGTGATGCTGAATGAGAGATGAGCACTGACTGAAGGCCCTCCCACACTCATTACACTTATAAGGCTTTTCTCCGGTGTGGATCCGTTGATGCTTCTGAAGGGATGAGCTGCCTTTGAAGGTTTTGCCACATTCCTTACATTCATAGGGTCTGTCTCCAGTGTGCATCCTCTGATGCCCAAGGAGAGAGGTGGTGAAGCTGAAAGCCTTTCCACATTCACTACACATGTACGGTTTTTCTCCAGTGTGGACTCTCAGGTGCTGCGTTAGGGAGGAGCTTTGGCTGAAAGCTTTCCAGCATTCCTTACATTTGTAGAGCTTCTCTCCAGTGTGACTCCTCTGATGTTTGCTCAGGGAAGAACTGTGGAGAAAGGCTCTCCCGCAGGTGTTGCATTTATAAAACTTGTGCATTGTGTTGGCCCCTGAGTACTGCTGTGAGTGGGGCTTTCTTCCTCTGGACACAACTCCAGGTTTCCTGGGAAATGGAGACTTTATACCAGAATTTCCCAGGAGTTTAATACCTGTAAAGCCCCTCTCTTGTATACAGTCTTTTCTAAGGGAAAGCATCATTTCGCTGAAAAGTTTGTCCTTTTTGCCTTGTTGCTCTTCCAGCTGTTCCTCATCCACATACGTTTTTCCCAATATGAGGTCAAAAAAATCATCAACTTTCTGCTTTTTCAAGACTTCCTTGTTTTCTTCTTTGGAAACTCTGGGTTCGAACAAGCTCTTCCATCCTAAATTAAACAAAATGTAAGCAACTCTTGCACTGGAAATAAAAGAAAATGAGGTTAAAATACATGAGCACAGCTAACAAGTCCAGACTCAGAATCTTAAGAAAGGTTAGGAACAGGACAAAGGAAAAGAAATATGAAGGTAGACATGCCTGAGAGGAAGGGTCTGAAGGTGTCAGCTCTTCCAGTGGGGAGAGGGGCAAGTGCCAGTCCTGACCTAGCGATAAAGCCTGTGCTATCAGGTGTTTCTGGGCACAGCTTCATCACCCATATACCTGAGTATACTGACAGGTATACTCCCAAAAGAAAACTGCAGGGAAAAAGAGGAGAAGGGAAGAAGAAAGGCAGGAGGAGGAGGAGCCTCTACCTCCAAGAGCTCTTGAAACAGTTTTAGTCTTAGCAGTGCCACTCTGGTTCTTGTCAGAGTGCTAATGTTATAATAAGCATTCCCTCAATAGACAGTGCAGAGGCCAATGTTCTGGGAATTCCAGGCAATAGCTAAGTAAGGGTCAACTTTCTATTCAATAGCCAAGTAACCAAATTGCCAAAGATGTAACTAGGGCCTTATGAATGTGTATCGGAACAAACAAAACCAAAGCAATGTGTAATGGTGGCAACTGTACTGATATTTAAACCAAGTCATAAGAAGATGAAGTTGAAGAGAAAATCCAGGGCCCAGGATGGCTGGGTGGGTAGGGGAGCATTCTGCCAAGCCCCACAACTTGAGTTCTGTCCTGGGACTTGTGTGGTAGAAGGGAAGCTCTGACTCCTGAAAGCTGTCCTCTGAGCTCCGCACTCACGCTATAGCTCACCCCCAACTACCTTCCTGCGCAAGATAAATAAATTAGTGTAAAAAGGGATAAAATTTAAATAAGAGCCAGGATACTTAGGATACACTGCAAGAAATAAATCATTGATTCAAAAGAAATAAATGTATTTTATAAGAGCTTTGATAATTTTGATCAGAAAAGAGGGTTACCTGTACAAAACATATGAGAAGTAGAATCAGACAGAGGACTTGTTACTCACTGCTTAAAGTTAGAGTGGAACCAAGTGTAGACACTGCTGATAGGGAAAAAGAAATCTAATGCTAGAATTCTACTGCAAAAACTATGTCTAAAGAAGAAAAGAAAAAAACTTAGACACATACATATACTGTACACATAAACTCTGAAAAAATATTCATGGAAAATAACCTCATCAAAGCAAAAGGAGATCTAAGGACAGTTCATGAATGATAAGCCAAAAAACAAAACTGACTCAGAATGTCCAGCTCCTGCCAGAGAAAAGTGAATTCTGGGTAAGTAGCTGAGCCCAAGAGAATCGTCCTCTGGTTGCCAGAAACAAAGACAGAATACAAAGCAGGACAGAAAGTGGGCACCTCTGATGCAGCAAGCAGAGTCTAACAAACTCAGCCATACACACCAGGGACCAAGATCTGCTATGTATGGCTTGCAAATTGTCACAGTAAAGAATGGCCTGTCACCATTTTGGCAACCTAGTTTCTCTCTCTTTCTCTCTCTCTCTCTTTCTCTCTGTCTCTGTCTCTCTCTCTCTCTCTGTGTGTGTGTGTGTGTGTGTACACATATAGTTGTTTTTCTTTAACAATAGATATTGAGTTTCTGGCGAAAAAGTCAAAACAAAAGCCCAAGATAGTATGGTGATACATTACTATGAAAATTGCTTACACTCAAAAGCCTGGAACTTTTGTTGGACCTCACAGGGCTAATAATGCACCTTGAGATCACTTAAGATTCAAGATTGCTATCCTACCTTGTACTCCACCTGTTTGTCTAACCTGCCTTTATGAGAACAATGTAACAAACATCCTTACGTGCCTTGGATTTCCCATGTACCCAGCTTTTACAACCTAAGCTAATGTATGATTATAATCCAATTCCATGCTTTTGACCCAGAGAGAAATGTATGTATGTATGTATGTATGTATGTATGTATGTATGTATGTATGTATGTATCTGTTGTATTTATGATGTGGTAGTCATTTGTGGAAAGCAACAAACAGTTTGGAAACCAACCTTATAAATGAATATCTGAAAGCCAGCTGATGGTGGTGCATGCCTTTAATTCCTGCACTCAGGAAGTAGAGGCAGATAGCTCTCTGAGTTCAAGGCCAGCCTGGTCTACAACATGAGTTCCAAGACAGCCAGGGATACAACAGAGAAACCCTGTCTCTAAAAACAAAAATAAAACAAAAAATAAAAAACAAACAAACAAAAACCAGCATTTGGATATTGTTTGACAGCACTGTTCTCTTTTTTTTTTTTTTTTCAGCATCTGTTTGTTAATCTGGGTTATCTTTGGAGTTACTATAACTCTGATAAGGATTTCTATAAAACATCCCTCATTCTTTCCCCGTATTTCTTTGATATTCAATAAACACAGAGCAAAGCCCTTTGTTAGGGACACACATAGGCAAAGACAGATTCAGAAGACAACATTCAGGCAGGCACAGATTTAAACTAATATAATTGACAAATTACAGACAGCAGAGATGGAAGACACAGGGAGAAAGCAGTAAAGAACGCAGATCTTGGCTTGTTCTTGGTAAAAGTACCCCAGGGGGAAGTGCTCTGATTTATTTACCTTAATGCAACATCAATACAGTTTGGGTACTCTGAGGTTATTACTAATACATTTAGGTGAAAGGCAGAATAGGGGATGCCCTACAGTCAGGAAAGTTATGCTCAACCCACTAAAGTAAAATGTTACTAGTGCAGTGTAAGTGAAGGAAAGGGTGGAAAAAGCAAGGATGCTAAACAGTTAAAATGCATCCCACTGTAGCATGCGCTTTCAAATGACAAGAGGTGTTTGACAAAGAGCAGCCTGTGCTTGGAGAATTTACCTCTCCCTCTGAACTTATGGACCAGGAGATCAGAAACAAAGAGGAGGCATGTCCTTCCCAGCAAATGCCATGTGATAGCACATCAAAGGAGGTCTCTGGCCAGTGTCATCTGAGCATAATCCCTTATTGTACCCAGGCAGGTAGGAAATGCCAAGTTCAAGTCTTTATCCCTCCACCACTTACCTAGGCATACACCTTGAAGCATTCCACTTTCCACAGCATGGAAGTCTTCTGCTTGCTCTAACTGAGAGATAACCTTTGGCTTGGAGAACAGAATCCCTGTTCATGAACAAGAAGACATGAGTGGCCATCCTGGCACAGAGGTCCAGGCCAGGTGGACCCCGAGGTAGGGGTAGAGCACACAGGAGGTTTAGAAACTCTGTTTAGAAAGCAGCCTAAAACCGTGCTCCTAGAGGATGGCCAGAGGCAGCATCAGGATGCAAGTCAGGGCTGTGGCTTGGCACTCTTGGTGGGATGGCTTAGGGAACCCACAGCAACAGAGCTGTGGTTGGGGAGACAGGGAAAACATGAGAAGGTGCCCTTTGTCAAGGGCTAAGTTCAGACTTCTCAGAACAGCCAAGGGAAAGAGCAGCCATGGCTGAGCCCCTCCACAGGTCAAACCTGGCCAAACCGTGCATACCAGGGTAAAGGGTAGGGATCACGGGCTTCCACAGCAGCATGTTAACCCCAGGGAGCTCCTCACCCAGCGAGGCCAGGTTGCTGTAGTTCTCCAGCATCACCTCCTGGTACAGGCTTCTCTGCACAGGGTCCAGGTGCAACCACTCATCCTGGCTGAAGAACACGGCCACATCCCGGAAGGTCACAGGCTCCTGAAACAGCAAACCCACTCCTGCTCACCCCAGACCATGCCCACAGACAGCATGCCTGAGAAGCAACCCAGTGAGAGTTTGGGGTGTTCCAAGCCAAGCAAGCACTTCTGGACAACAGTTTCACTACCCAGCATGCATTCTGTTCCCCCAGAAAGCTCAAACACAACACCCTTGTCTTATTTAGGGTCTACATTGCTGAGATGAAATGCCATGACCAAAAGGCAAGTTGGGGAGGAAAGGTCTCATTTGGCTTACATTTCCACAGCACTGTAGTTTATTGAAGGAAGACAGGACAGGAACTCAAAAACAGAACAGAAACCTAGAGGCAAGAGCTGATACAGAGGCCACGGAGGGGTGCCATCTACTGGCTTGTTCAGCCTGCTTTCTTGTAGAATCCAGGACCACCAGTCCCGGCATGGACCTACCCACCATGGGCCGGGCCCTCCCCCACCAATTACTAATTTAAAAAATTCCTTAGAGCCGGATCTTATGGAGGCATTTTCTCAACTGAGTTTCCCTCCTTTGAGATAATGCTAGTTAGTGTGTCAAGTTGACCTAAGACTTGGTCAGCACAACCTTGAAAGAGAACACTTAAAATCACAAAATCAAATGAGGAAGACAGAACACAGAACTTGGGACTAAGAAATGTACTGGTCATCGAAAGAGAGATGTTGTGGTGGCTTCCATGTTTGTAAGACTCTACAAACCACAGGCAGGGCGGCCAGGTACAACGCCTGAGGTGTCTGTGCCGTGGAAGGGCTAGGACCTTGCTTTTTCTTTACCATGCCAAAGGCACATCTCCAGAACCCCAAGTTGGTCACAAAGTGTGGCCTCCCTCCTGCTCTGAAAGAGCAAAAGGAAACTAAATATAAGTGATTTGATTTTCCTCGCTGGAAATGAAGGAAGAGACAAGTCCCTACCTCTGTTTCTTTGCAGGGCTGAGAATCAATCCTAGGAGCAGGTGCTCTATCTATGATCAACATCCCAGGCCCCACTCCTTTTATTTCAGAATCTCTCCTTTTCAGATATATGGGAATCCCTCTCTCACTCTCTCTCTCTCTCTGTGTGTGTGTGTGTATCTGTATATATATCCATGTGTGTCAAAACCAGAAGTCAACCTCAGGTCAAACCCCTCAGTATGCTACCCATCTTGTTTTTGAGACAGGGTCTCTCATTGGCCTAGATCTTGCTGACCCACTAGGCCAGCTGGCCAGTGAGTCCCAGGGATCCACCTGCCTCTGCCTCTCAAATATTGGGATGACAAACAATATTACCATCACTCCTGGATTTTTTTTACTTCAGTTCTATGCATTGCTTCAAACTTAGGTCCTAAGACTTGTGTGGCAAATATATTACTAACTGAGCCATCTTTCCAGTGAGTGTGTGAATCTTCTTAATCGCTAAGTCATGTCAGTCTCAACTCAGAAAAGCTTCCCGAAGGAACTGGTACCCATGTCTTTATTTGAATAGAATCATGACAGATGCTATTATAGCCTTAGGACGAAGGAGGCAAAACCTCCCTGGGTTTCTTACAAAATGAAACGAGCTCAGCTAATCAAGCACCAAAGGAGCATGGCTTGCACCATCAGGCACTCTGCATAGGGACAAGTCTAAGTAAACAAAACTTAAACCTATGGGTTCCTGTGCTCTGCTTCTGCATTTATGCTCTATTACCTTTTCCTTCTGTTCCTTTGGATGTAGCCCAGAATCACTTCTAGTGATTAGGAGGAAGTTAGATCTGAGTGTGAAGGTAGGGGCCGGTCCAACAAAAGTCCATTGTTTAACCTTAGCTTTATGGCAACAGGCTATCAGAGCTGGTGAGCACTGATGAGACAAGTGAGAATGAGAGCAGCCCTACAATCAGGTCACAAGACCTCAAGTAGGTTGACATACACACTGGGGAGGCAGGGCTGATAAATCTTTCCGCTGGTCAAAAGGGTTAAGTGGAAAAGGGTATTAAAAACTGTAGCTGATGGTCTGTGGGCTGCTTCCATCTCTCAGACAGCCTCTCTGCCTATGCAAGTAAGTTCCTGCTCTAAGAAAATCCTGTTTGCTGAGGCTCTTTGTGTGCCTTGTTGAAATCTTCTCCAGGAGAAGGCAAGAGCCAGGGAATTATATAACAGTCTCTTGCTTGATAAACGGTGTGGAGGGTTGGAGCAGGGCTGAGGGAAGGCAGTTAACTCTTGCTCAATGGCTACTAACTGATTAAGGAAGAAACTACTTGGAAACTGGCCTGAGGACAAAGGAAGTACTTTTCCTTCAGGGCCTCATCATTCAGCAGCTTCTGTTCTTCCTTGGGCTCTGAAGCTCAGAGAAGCTCGAGGAAAGGATTAAATAAATTTGCCCCCTTCTGCAGCCTGAAGGCAGCTCAAAAAAGAAGTGGCCTATACTCACCGGAACCTGGGCTGGCAGCAACCTCTTGGCCATTTTTCTCTCTATGTCGCTCTTCCTGAGAAGATGTCTGAGGCAGAGCAAGAAGCTGTGAGCTTTCCTCACCCTGACTGCCCTCCGGCCCTCACTGGACCAGACCATCTTAGAAACCACCTGCTGGGCATCTGCACAGTCCAGGCTCCCAAGCTCTAGGTCAAGCTGGGCACGACCAGCAAAGCCAGATGTAGGCAGCAAGCACACTAGGGTATTGGGCCTGTGGCCTTTTCACTAGATTATGAATAAGTCGAACTAAACGGAACGGTTAAAGCTATCAAGTTCATTAGCAAAATAAAAGGCAACATTGTGTGCAACTCTTGATGTAAGTTAAAAGACATAAATAGTCCATCTGCACTTGGACATTGCAAGTCCAAGAAACCACTGCAGAATGCATGCCCTTTCCAGAATCCACCAACTAGAAACTAGTCCACTTTTCCTCGTGGGCGTTTGCCTCTGGTCAAAAGAATTACTAAAGTCACCTAAATTAAGACCACCAGCCGTACCTCTCCCCACCCCACCCCCACACACTCGGGGAACAGCGTCTCTAACCAGACCCGCATTTAAATTTTAGAGAAAAGGGGCTGAAGGGCGCAGCTCATGTGGAGCGCACGATATTAACAAGTACTGGGCTACATGCCCAGCATCCTTCTGCTTCTTTCCAACAGTAAAACCTTAGAGCAAAGGAACAGAACTTCACCAAAAAAAAAAAATAATACGGACTGTGGGATTCACTGCAAGACACTATCCAACACGGAAGACTGACAGGAACGAATAAATAAAGTTTCAGTTCCGGGATGGTAGAGCTCCAGGAGCTCAGCTCAAGGCCGCCCTGACTCGCTAACCTAAAGCCCGCGGCTTCCTAGACCGCTGCTTCCCAGGGCCGCGGGACTGGAGCAACCAGGAGTCAGGGCCCTAGGATCCGCACCTGTCACCGAGGGTTCTGCGCGCTCCCGGGAGGCTGCAGCCCTATCCCGCGGGTTCCCAGCCGCGCCTGTTCCGCTAGAAAGTCCAACAAGTCCCAAAGTCCAGGACTAGGCTCTACTGCGCCTGCGCGCGAGCTAGCGCTTTTTCCATTACAGACTACATTTCCCAGAAGGCACCGCGACACCTCCTTACGGAGCCCGAGTGGGAGAAAGGGGTGTAAAGGCTGAGGGTCAGCTTTTCAGTTGCCATCACCTCTTGGGCTTTTGTGCACGCTTCATACGTAATTACAATAGTACTACTACTAAAAATGGCAAAGTGAGTGTACATTAAAAAAATAGAAGAATAAGGCGCTGGCCACTTAGAACTGTCCTTTCATTTTTTTAAATAGAAAATTATGCTTTTCATAGCCAACAAAAGATACATTTAACACACACAGTTTTTCATTGCTGGCTCATACTTCAATATAAAACAAATAAACTGCCATTATTACTGCAGCCTAGAAAAGCAGAAAGATAGAAAAAAAATATTCATTTTTTTGAGTTGAAATTTTTTAGCTCTTGTTACAAAAGTTTGTCCCTGTCTTTGTACAATGTAAATGTTTTGAAGAATGACAATTCAACATCAACTAGATACAAATTATGTTCTCTAGATAGCAATTACTACAAAGAGCTCCTTAAAGAAGTCCACAGTAATGGACCCACAAGATAAGAACAGTGCCCAGAAAAAAAATAATAAAGCCAGAAAAAGGCTGTATCACAGTGTCTCAGGAACCAACTCAAAGGGCTCTGAGGAACCAAGGTGGGAGAATTTCATCATCAGAAGACCCTGCAAAGGTCTGAAAATCACCAAATGCTGTAAGATTCTATCTGACTTCTATTCCTGCCAAAATATGAGAAAAGGAATAGAACTACCCCCATCAAAACAAAACGAAACAGCAGCCCACCAATAGACAAACAATCGGTGGACATGCTAAAACATGCCCCTTTAGTACAAGGACTATTTTGACTCCATGCGAGGTGTGGTACTTTCTGTAGGCTTTTAGTAGATCGTTTTGTCAGCCTAAAGACAATCCCCAGATGGCTAAACATTTAAACCATGAATGAACAGTAGATGTTGCCAAATGCTTCTCTGCATCCATTTAGATAATCATGTTTTTGCCTTTAATCCATTAATGCAGTGAATTACAGAAATACATTTCCTAAATCATTACATTTCTCAAATCGCTAATCCGCTAAAGTACATCTCAGGCTGGCTGTGACAGGTTTGTCTCTGGCAGTTTGTAAGTGTTGGGCTGCTTCCTTCTATGTCTCTGCTTCTTGGTCTGGCCTGAACATTTATTTCACTTTTCATTCTACCTATGTATCGATTTCATGCTGTGTGTTGCCATTTTTCTCCCACTGTGTGATATTTTGTGAACAGAGCAATTCCTTTGTAACACAGTTGAGTATTATGGGTTAGTTTGGTGTTCTGTAGAAGGTGTCACATGGGTATTTTCTCTTCTGGATGAGAGGACCTCCCATGTGGTGAGCTGACACAGCAGACAGCAAGCAATACAACCTGAAAGGGGAGAGCTGTGTGTGGCAGTCCTTTGTCTCCCTCAGCTCGCTGTGTCAGCCTGCTCGCTGAAAAGTGCTGTGGCGAATTTCCTTTCCTTTCCTTGCAGTTCTGAGATGAAACCCAAGGTCTGTGCATGCTAGGTGGGCACTGCACCACAGAGCTAGAGCCCCAGCCTGCTAGATTTTTTTTTTTTTTTTTTAATCAGGATCTTGTTTTGCATTAACGTCCTGCTGCCAAATCTGCTTATGGCTTCAGTGGTTCGTTTTAGCTTTATCCTCCTTATACTCACGGTTGTTTTTCTTCTGGAGTTTCACACACACATTTTCATCATGGACACCCTTTCTTATTTCTTAATATTACTGTTGTTGTTGTTATTTTGACATTTGTCTTCACCTGGTCTCCAGTTGCTGTGCTCTCTACTTGCCAGACATCAACATTGCTTTACCATGCACTTGTCCAGGTTTCTGCTCACACAACATCCACCATGAAGCTTCCTGTGTGTGTATCCAACTGGATATCCACATGCAAATGGTTCAGGTTGGACCCAACCACGAATTACACTGAAAAATTCCCTCAACATGGATCAAAGGTCTCAAAGTGAGAGCTAAAATTTATAAAACACTAAAAATAAAACATAGGTGGAATCTTAGGGTTTTTATTGCTGTGATTAAAAACAACAACAACAACAACAACAACACACACATACACACATGCCTATGACCAAAAAGCAACTTGGGGAGGAAAGGGTTGATCTCAGCTTAGAACTTTCCGGTCACACTCCCTCAGTGAGGGGAGTCAGAACAGGAAGTGATGGAGAGGCTGTGGAGGGATCTGTTTCCTGGCTTTCTCCTTGTGGCTTGCTCAGCCTGCTTTCTTGTGGTACCCCAGATAGTGGACTGGGCCTTCTCACTTCAATCATTAATTAAGAACACACAAAACAAGACATTATGGTGGAGACTTTCTCAACTGAGGTTCTCTCTTCCCAGAGGACTCCAGTTTCTGTCAAGTTAACAAAAAGCTAACCAGGACGGGTTTAACTCTTCGTGACCTTAGAATTGCCTGTGAGATCCTAGGTGTGCTACCCAAACACAAACAATAACAGTAAAATGTAATATGAATCTCAACAAAAATCAAAATTTTGTGCTTTATGAAGAAAGCAAACAGACAACCCACAGACCGGGACAAAAATCCTTCCACATCATATGTTTAATAACGCCAAGCCTTACAACTTAACAAGAAGACTGATACCTGCACTTACAAAGGAGCAACAGATTTGAATAGTCATCACTTCAAAGAAGCCATATAAATAGGCAAATACAGACGAAATATGTTCAATAACACCATTGGCCACTGGGAAAAGGTAAATGAAAACAGGGAACTCTAACTTAATTTACACAGTAAAGTGACAGTAGAAGAACTGAAGTTGAGAGGTCCATGGCTACAGTGGCCATAGACACACTTCCTGAGGAGGGTAGAGCTTATCCAGACTGGCTGGTGTTCTCTCTGGATTCTGCCCAAATTCAGGGTAGTGCCTTTGGACTTAGCTACTGTCACACATAGCCGTCCTTCTGGAGGCACTTTCACAGGCACACCAGCTGTGTGCTTCACAGATCTTCTAAGTCACTCCCTGTAACATGAAATTAATAAGCCAACAGTTTTCCTTAACTCCAGTAGCAACCCAAATAATTGATGCAGAGAGACTAGGATTCATTTGATAAGCCTTAAAGCCCTAGAGCGGGGCAGCCAACAAATGTCTAAGTTATTTTGCTATGTCCCAACTATGCACCCCAACTTACTTGCCAATAAGTCGTCCTGTCTGGGCTGGATCTGCTCCAACAAATCACATCCTCTTTCTCCATCTTCTTTTCTCCTGCTCCTCCTTGACTATGGTCCTTCTGTGACCCCATGCCTGGGAACCTAAGCCCCACTGTGGAGAGCCACTTGTTTGTCAGGCTGCTTTGTTATTGAGCTCTCAGCAGAAAACATGTTTTCATCCTGCCTTCACCTGGAGACAGGGATAGACAGGATGTTTTACCATGTTCACTTCCTTTTGTTTGAGACAATAGGCAGGATGTTTTGCCAAGTTCACTTCATTTTGTTTGTATGAGGATCACACAGAGGTAAACAAGTTTGACTTCTTTATGAACCCCTTCATTGTATCAAGGTGCTTTGCTCTGACTATAAAAAGGGACTGTGGCATAAACTGGTGTGACAGTTTCTACTGGCAACCCTCTGGAACAGATCCCTTGTGTAGTGTGTTGGTTTTTTAAATTTTCTTTCAATCCTCACTCCCCACTCAAGAACTGTTCGACTCTGCGGGCAGGCTCCAGCACCCCACCTACTTTTTTTTCTGCCCAGTCACAGGCTTTAGGATCTTTATTAACCAATCAACTTTGAATTGTGTAACACAAAGCTTACACAACAAAGAAGGGTGTTCATGAGAATCTTCTTATCTGGGTGGTAGCCAAATCTTGGGGGCCAGTAATTGACATTATAATACATAGCACCAGACCTACCCCCAACATCTCCCCATCAGCTCAAGATTCAGTATCTCCAGCCCTCATCTGATAGAGTTATTGTCCTATGAGAAGAGGAAGAGACAGCTGGGCATTGCTCATCCAGGGAAGACCATTTGGGCCACAAGAAGGCTATCATCTACAAGCCTGGCACAGCTCTCACAGGACCTAGCTTGTATGCCACCCTCAATCTCAGATGTCTAGCCTCCAGGACTGTGAGAGAGAAAACAAGTTTCTGTCATTTGGCCACCAGTCTGTGAGGCAGCCCAGCCCTCTGAGGCACGAGTCAACCATTCAGAATATCTTGACTTCTTCTGGGCAGGCCTTTAAAGTTTCATCCATATTTTATTAAACTCTTTGCTTCACTGAGTCCAAGCAGTTTGCTTGAACATGTCAGGGGGCCTGTGGCCTGTGATTGGGTTGTCCCCACCAGGCATCAACCCTTGCTGGAGACCTAATGTCACTGTTTTGCCAGGTATAATTGGAAGATGAAGCTGAGAGCTGGACCTGAGTCTCTCCTTTCTAATGTAGCCCCAGCCTGGGTTTTTCTCACCAACACGTTAGATCTTTATTATGTAGAGCATTCTTACCCTCCTTTCCCCACCAGGGAAATGAATGGGGCTTGGGGAATGAAGTTGTGGCAGTCAGAGCATACATAGACTTGTTAAAATAAGAGGAGTAAGTCATCACACACACACACACACACACACACACACACACACACGCCCCTTGATCAACTGCACAGAATAGTCAACGCAGCTTTGTACTTAGTACTGAAAACTTGAAAGTTTGCTGAGACAGTGGATTTAAAATGTTCTCATCCCCAGAAAGAGTTAAATATTTGAGGTAACAAACTGCTAGTTACCAGGACAGTCATTCCACGTTGCTTTAGTCTTTTAAAACCATTAACAGATATTAACAAATGGGATCCCTGTGACATTTTTGTACATGTGTGTAGCACATGCTAATCTACCTTGCCCACTCATTCTGTGTTCTGCGGC